TTAAAAATTGCCCCTGATTTCACAGAATTATTTCCTCTAGTTAGAAGTCCTTCTTTGACTATTGCAAACAATTTCTATAACTGGCTTCTCACGTGAGTCCTACTACACATCTGATCATCAGCTGGCTAGACAGGCCCATCGGAACACATAACTGTATGCATTATGAGTAAAAACATCTAGGCGTAAAGCTATCTGCAAAGTAAAATAAATATTAAAATCTAAGGTCAAAGTCGGGTCTCCAAATCTGGGGACAAAGCTAAGGAGGGCTGGCTCCTGCGACTGAGCCATCCACAGGTTACTCACAGGAACAGCTCCCCAGTGGGGCTGGGAGGTGCCTGCCTGACTTCCCCTGGAAGCTCCCTCCCTGGAGGCCCCCAGAGAGGGCAACCTCTTAGTGAATCCATGGACGGAGAAAAATCAGGAAACATCTATGCTGGAGCCTGCTATAAATGTGGGCCAGGAGTGTAGTTGTCATGACAACCATAAACCAAAAAAAGTCTAGGAAAATGTGTGTTTTAAACACAAAGAAGAGGGAACCCTGATTCCTGGGGACTCATCTTGATTTCATACGCAGGGAAGGCTCTTGAGCAGAGGAGGGAGCGCTCACGATACCATGGTTAGCTGGAAATATCTCTTTTAAAAAAATCCTGAACCCTGTACTGGATTCTGTTCTTACTCTCTTTATTTGTTTTCATTCTGTTCTCTTTGGTCCCTGAAAGGGCTGTGCACTTAAAAAAGAGCTTGCCTGAGACAGGGGAGATGCTCAGTAAATAAAGGACCCAGATTTGTTCTTGAGTCATCAAAGTCTCTTTTGTAAAGTAATACAGCGTTCTGGTTTACTAATTAATCTACTGTGCTTTTGGTTAGTCTGAATCAGTCCTCAGGGCCTGACAGTCACGGTGTGGGGAACTAGAAAAAATAGCAACTGAGTTTATAGATCTGCAGACAGACTTCGAACTCTGGGGACCCCTCCCACTACAACCAACCACTGGGGCATGGACTGACATGGTTGGGGGCTTGTCCCTTTCGTTTGAAAAAGTGTTTAACCATATAGTTCCTTCTGCACTCTATGAAAGTAGTCATTGGGTAAAATTTGGAAAACATTTTTTTTAAGTTATACAAAATAAAATTCCCACATAAACTCCATTCCTGGAGATGAGCTTTCTTAAAGTATTGACGTATGATTTGTGTTTATGTGTGTGAGTGTGTATGCATCCATGTTTAACAAAACTTGGATCGTAGTATCCATGTTGCTTTTTTCTCTAGGTATATCAGTAATTTAGCTCATTTTCTTAAATATTTTCAGTAACATGATTTTTCAATGGCTATATAAAATGGCTACTGATATACCATAATATATTTAGCCCTCTACTCTTGTAGGTAATTTTAAATTGTTTACAAATTTTCACTATTGTGGATAATTCTAAAGCAACCATCCTTATATGGTACATAAAATTCTATAAACCTATCTCTGACCATTTTGTTTGATAAATCTTTAGTAATAAGGGTCAAAGAATACAAATATTTTAAAAGGCCTTTGCTGCATAGTGGTAGGCTAGTCCTAAGAAAAGCTGAACCTTTGTGAAGCCTGTTCCTGTACCCTCATCGATACTCTATGAGCATTAAGAAAAGTTCTTTGCCAGCCTGAGAGATGGAAAACAGTATGTCATTATTTGAATTTGCATTTCATTGATTACTGGTAAGTCTGGATGCTTTTTCTATGTTTGTTGGCATTATTTTTTTTATGTTGTAAGTTTTCTTTCATGCCTTCTTTTGGTATGTCTATCATTTTCTTTCTGAAAAAGTACTTTATAGATTGTTTGCTACAAATACTCCCAATTTGTGACTTGACGTTACATGAAGGGTCTTCAAAAAGTTCACGGAAGGATTTGTATTCTTTTTAATTCCATTTTTCTATTAACTTTTTGAAGTGCCCTCATCGGGTGTGTGTGTATTTAATTTTTAATCATTTCTATTTCACTCAGTGGGCAAGTTTTTTTTCTCTCTTTCTGCCGTTCTTAGTCAATTAGGGAATAGGGAAAACACTTTTGAAGCCATACTCAAGTAATTTCTGCATGGAGTACTTTGATTACATTTAGAGCCTCTTGGAGGAGAATGATACCTCAATATTCCTTCTTTGTATAACTCTTGATGTTTTTTGGAAATCTTATATTACGTGTTCACCATAACAAGAAAGGCAGCTTAACTAAGGAGATAAAACAGCTATGACCCTATTTCACAGATGGGAAAACAAAAACTGAGAAATGGCTTGCATTAGATTGTACAATAATTCAGGGGTGGTGCTGGGTCAAGGACCTATCTTTTGACCCCCCGAGTGTTCTGTTCATGATCGTGCTGGACAACAAACTAGGTCGCCTCCATTTGTCTCAGAAAATGTGCAAATAGTGCAGTACTGCTCAAACTCCTGGCTTTGAATATGTGGCAGAGTTCCTCTGCCACTGACCTAGATATTACATGAGCACCCTAACCCTGGCTAGCTTAGAAGTTAATATTTTGTTAACTTTTCTTTGGTCTATGAGATGACTAAGTTTTGGACTATTTCTTGAGGAATGGGAGACTTATAAAACTGGCATTTCTTCTCTCATGGAATGTCTATGCTTTTGTTTCTTAAACACACAGCATTTGACAAATTGAGATTTCTATCAGTCCCAAGGAAATGGTATTCACCAGAACAGGGCAGGAATTCACAGTCCTCTTAACTGGAAACACATGCCCAATCTTGGGTGCAAGAGGCTGGATTCTTGTAGGATGACACCAACAGTGGTGCAGACACATTTGCATGTCGCTGGCCTGTAGGATTTTCTCCCTAAAAGGAGATCATTTTAGAGAATCTTCTCTGCTCAGCTCTGAAGACCAAAGAAGAAAATGTGCATACTCCACAGTATCTGGATTCTCTCTGCAGCCAGTGAGAGACCAAATGCCACTTAGTGCTTGGTCACTGTTTTCAGTAGGAGGGTGGTGGTATGCAGGGGCCCGGCTAGGGTGGCTTCATTGGCTTTGTGCTCCAAATACCTGCCAGTTTTGCCAGAAGAGGGGCCGCTTTCTGCCCTCGGCTGAGGATGTGGGTCCTTCTGACCTTGGTGACAAGGACTGCTGGAATGCAAGTCCAAGAGCAAAACAAACCACCCTGGCTTGTCTTACTGTGGTGCCCCATTTCTCTCCTTCCTGCATTCTTCCCCTGCCGCCCCCGCAATGCGGAGCCTGCTTAAGTCCACCTGTAAGGGGAAAGCTCATACTTCTGTTGCCCCCGTTTGCCCCTCATTTCTCTTCCTTCTTGTCCCCCTGCATCGTCTGTGAATTCTCTGAAGGCAACGGGTCCCGTCTTACCCATCTTGATGTTCATAGCAACTGGTACAGGTTTTTAAAAATTAATTTTAATTACAGAATTAACATATGAGCTTATTCCCCTTTGAAAATATTAGAACATTACAGATAAAGCTGGAGTCCTCTGTAATTCCCTTCCCCTCTATCCAGTCTCTGTTTCCTTCTTCGCTCTTCAGAGCTTGCTACCATGATGAATTAGGCATGTGTCCTTCCAAATAATTCCAGGAAAAGTTTTACTTATATCGTTTTGTTGTGTGCATTTTAAAAAAATGCAAATGGAATCCTTCTGTGTGAATTGTAGCGCAACTTACTTTATCCACCCAAGTGTGTGTTTCAGATCTGTCCACACGGGTGCACCTAGATCTCATTTTTCCTTTACATTATATTATATATTAAGGACATTCTGAATATGCAAGTATTCAGCATTTAGATGACTATACCACATTTTATTTAGTAAACGCTTTACTAACAGATGTTTAGGCTGTTTCCAGTTTTTGCTTTAAGAAACAATGCACAGTAAGAATCTTGTGTTCTTGTGAGTGTTTCTCTAGCAAAAATATCCAGAAGTGAGCTGCTGGCTCACAGGGTGTGGGGAGTTTTAATTTTGAGAGAGAACGCAGAATTCTTGATATTTAGCAAGGGCATAAGAGAAACTTATTTAAGTGAGCTGACTTCTCTCTTGGCAGGATGCATGATACAGCATGTAGAAGAGAAACAGGACTGAGAGCAACTCTCATTCCAGACTTGCTCCTGCCATGAACTGGCTTCTTGGTACTGGACACCTTCTTCCCCTCCCTGGGCCTCACTTTCCCTGCTTGTAAAACAAGGGAGTTGGACCAAATGCTTTCCATCTCAAGTACCCTTTGGTCCTGAGGGTCCATTCTATAAGGTTTGTACCTGAGGGGTCCCCAGCCGCTCTATCAGAGGGACCAGGTGAAGCGGGGCATACTTGGCTTCCAGGCGTTTCATGCGGACCTCCAGGCGTTCCCCCTCTGCAAAAGGAACAGCAAGGCAGATGAGACCCAGGGCACAGTGAGTGACTGGGCAGGGAAAAACTGTGAGGACCTGATGATGTATCTTTGTTCCAAAACATGGATGGAGCATGTAGAACTGTTCTTTTTGGTTCTGGAAAGCACATTTGAACTCATTACAAGAAAACATTTTCTATGCTCTCTGTCCAACAATGGAATCACTAACCTTATGAAGTGGTGAATTCCCATCACTCGAAGAATTTAGACCAAGGCTAGATAGCAACATACTAGGGATATTCTAGAAGGAACAAGCCTTGCAGTGTCATTTCCAATCCTGTGTTTCTGTGACTATTCAATAGGCGCCCAAAGCTTTAACCTCCTCCCTTGCTGACTGCAGATCTGAGTTGACTGGGATTAAGACGTGAGCATAAGGTTCAAATGCAAGTTGGCTATTCGGCTGCTGTTAGTGTTTTCTTACCTTTGATGTAGACTCTAGGCAAGATGTTTTGGAAAGGTGCAGCATGGAGCAAATCACAGACTTCCTCCTGAGACTGCAGAGATGGAGGGAAAGAAAGAAAACAATTTTCATTTTAAGTCAGGAAGAATTTTCATTCCTAAAAATTTGAGCACTGGAGTCAGCCAGACCTGGGTTCAAATCCTGACTCTTCTACTTATCAGCTGTGTGACCTTGGGCCAGTTACTTAGCCTCTCTGAATCTACCTGCTGATGAGGATGAAAATAGTACCAACTTTAAAAGGTTACTGTGAGGATTAAATGAGAGAATGCATAACCTTGTAGCACAGGCTCAGGCACATATGAGAGCTCAATACATTTTTAGTATAATCTTACAAGGAATTTGCTGAGAAACTAGAATGGATGATGAAAAGATCAACCAGGGATGATGTGCCCCCAGACTCTGTTTGTCTGGTAGGTTGTGAGGCCTATAGGCTCGAAGCAGGTGGCTGGGCCAGTCCTCCAATTCATTAATCCAGGATGACTCTGTGAAAAGGCCTGCGTCTGATTAGTTTTCTTCATACCAGACACCAACTGGTGAGAGAAGAGGGACTAGAACCCAGGCCAGATAGGTTTTTTTTTTTCCTTTTTGTCTTTTTTACTGACCAGCAACGGGATCGCAACCCTCTGTGTTGCGCCCGCCCCGCGCTCAGCCAGTGAGCGGGAACTGGTCTCCACATGGGATCCGAACCCTTGGCGGGAGCGCCGCCGTACTCCCAAGCGGTGCACTCTCCAGTGTGCCACTGGGCCGGCCCGGCCAGATAGGTTTTGATGATCACTTGTTATACACAAAAGTAAGCTTAAAAACAAACATACACTACAGTGGTTGGAGGGAAAAGCTTGGTTAGGGAAGACAGAAGGCAGAGCCTAACAGGCTTATTCTCCTGGGACCAGCTCACGATCACTAGATTTTAGGACAAAGGGGAGGAAAGGGGCCCGGAGAAGCCGCCTGCCACTGGGGCTTGCTTTCTTTTCTTTAAACTCGGTCATTTGGATTAGATAAGATCCAGGCTTCATCCAAACCCTGACACTCTGGCATTCTAAACATCTGAAAATATCAGGGTTCTGAGTGCTCTTGGCTTTCACCACCCTAGGCATGGATGGAACACTGTGTTCCTGGGAATCTGGAAGGCCAGGTGCTCAAGAGGGGGACCCTCAAACTCCTTTTTTTAAACTGTAGAGCAGTCCTTGAAATGAGGGGATACAAGAGGGAGGACACTCTGAAGTCCCTTCAGAGGGATCTGCCTCATCTAACTGATTGTAATTCTCAGTTTCTTAGCCAGAGGGGAAATTTTCCCTTTTCTTAATTGAGCTGTTTTTCTCCTCAGTACATCACACAACCTGGTCTTTATTGCTATGTCTAAGCTTAGATTCTTTGGTTCCTCATATAACCTGAAAACTTGGCTTATTGATCATTCAGGCTATTCTTTCATATTCATGTGGTGACTTACACTGATTGATTTTTGAATGATGAACCAGCTTTGCATTCCTGGGATAAACCCCACTTGACTGTGATCTATTATCCTTTTTATGTACTGCTTGCTTTTATTTGCTAATATTTTTGAAACCAGGCCCCCCTCAAGATTTCTCTTAAACGCTTTCCTTTTCTTCCCTGTGCTCATTTACACAGCTTCTATATACTTATGGTTTAAGCATCAGAGCTGAGCCTCCCTCCTGTTTCCTAATCAACCTTTGTGAACAAAGGCACTCCAAAGAGAGGCCACGCTGATTACTAACCTATGCTCTTGCTTAAAGAAAACTGTGTCACACATGTACATTAGTCAAGGGTCCAAGTCAGGTATTCTAATGTTTCAGTGACGCTTGGCTGAGATTACTGTCTTTGAGTTTTTCCTTAGGAAATACCACCAACCACAGACTCCATGACACCAGAGACCCTGTTCATCATGGAACCCTGACATCTGACTCAATACACCTGCTAATCCTGTGACAACCACTCCTTCTGGTACCCCTTACCCCCCACACCTCCTTGCATGCACCTGCATTCCTTCCCTCCCCTTAAAAACCTTAAACTTTAGTCAGTCAGGGAGGCAGGCTGATACTGTTCTCCCATTCTCCCAGCCAAAATAAAATCCTTCTTCCTGGCACTACTTTTGTCTCACTGATTGGCTGTCGGTGCAATGAGCAGCCAAATGCAATTAGATCTTTACTTCTCAGTTATATTTTGTTGAGGAATTTTACTCTATATTCATGAG